TTCTAACAAAACCTTGGGGCCTGAGTGGTTTAGCGGGCTTCCTCTTCAAACCTGCTTCTCCTCCTTCGGGGAGGGGTTGACCCTCCCCCTAAGGCCCTACGTGCCTGGCACGCTTGGGCCCCAGGGGGGGCCTGGCGTACCTGGAGCGCCTGGCACACGTGGCGCTCCTCGCCCCATCGCGCACACGGGTCCTGTTTTGGTTCCCAGGAGCTGCCCGTCCGTAGATGACAACTGGACATGCTGAGGCCCAAGTGCTACTCATGTCTCGGGAGGGCGGGTTGGAGTGAGCGAGACAACTTGCGAGCAGGGAGGGTGCCATGATCACTACACCCTACTAATATGCACCCACTTTCCCAGGCGACCGGCAGCCAATCAGGAACAGTGCCGACCCGATGATCCCCACCCCCAACCATCCCTGTCAGAAACAATACAAACCACACTCTGCCTCTAAATTCGGAGCAGGCGCAAACAACCCGATGCGCCCTCCTCTCCCTGTTAAACAAATCGAAAAAAACCCTTTTGGGACAAAGTCTTGAGTCATATTCGTGAGGCCCCTGAGCACTTTGTATTGTTGCTGTGACAGGGACGGCGGGGGTGTCAGCATATTGCCTGCTTTGCGCAGGGACACCATCCCTGCCAAAAAAGTTACAACATGCACCTCTCGGCTAAACCTGGATCGTGCACGGCCACCCCGTGATCACTGTCAAGCGGTTTTGGCAGGAACGGCGGGGGTGGTGGCGTGCGGCATGCTGTGCGCAGGCCCACCAGACACAATGATGGGGATGGGTTTTCGACAAGGACGGTGGGGACCGACATGTTTCCCGAGGTGTGCTGTCACGTGCGCAGGCGCACCTGATGCACTCTGCACGTGACCTGAACGTGGCGCACCTGGCCCGGCCTGGGTATGCGGCACACCCGGCGCACGTGGAGCACGTGACGCATGTGGCGCACCAGGCGTGCCTGGAACGCTCGGGCCCTGGGGTGCCTGGCGCGCGTGGCGCGCCTGGCTCGCGCGGCGCACTTCGCCCCATCGTCGCGCGCATGGGGTCGGCTTTGGTTCCCAGCAGCTGCCCATCCAAAGACGACCGCTGAACATGCTGATGCTCGGGTGTTTCTCATGTGTTGGGAGGGCGGGTGAGAGCGCTCTGGACGGCTTGCTATCTAGGAGGGTGTCTTGACCCCTCCATCTATCCCCTCCCCCTGGGTCTGTCTGGACGGGGCGTCCAAGGCGAGGAAGCCACAATCCTTGACTCCCCAATGAGGCTTGCATAAGGGGTTCTTACTTGGTGAACGGCTGGTGCCTCGAATTCTTATGTTGCCCGTTGCTCGGAAATTCCCCAGGTTCCTCGGGTTCCTCTGGTTCCTCGGGCTTCTCGGGGTCCTCGGGTTCCCCGGCTACCCCGGGTTCCTCGGGTTCCCCGGATTCCCCGGGTTCCCCGGGCTCCCTGCCTCGGGTTCCCCGGGTTCCCCGGGCTCCCCGGGTTCGCCAGGTTCCTCTGTTTCCTCGGGTTCCCCAGGTTCCCTGGGTTCCCAAGTTCCCAGGGTTTCCCGCCCCCGGTGCACCGTCTTCTTACTGTGCCCGTTCCAAACAATGCCAAGCAACGCCAAGCAATTCCTAGCAGTGCCAAGCAATGACAACCAATGCCGAGCAATGCTAAATGCCAAGCAATGCCAAGTAATGTCAGGCAATGCCAGGCAATGCCAAGCAACGCCAAGCAATGCCAAGCCAAGCAATGCCCAGCAATGCCAGGCAATGCCAAGCAATGCCAGGCAATGCCAGGCAATGCCAAGCAATGCCAGTTAATGCCAAGCAATGCCAAGCAATGCCAGGCAATGCCAAGCAATGCCAAGCAATGCCAGGCAATGCCAGGCAATGCCAACCACTGCCAAGCAATGCCAAGCAATGTCAACAATGCCAAACAATGCCAAGCAATGCCCAGCAATGCGAAGCAGTGCCAAACAATGCCAAGCAGTACGAAATCCCGCTCCCATGCAACAGGAAGCTGCCCCCTGATTTGGGTCGCGCCGAGTTCATTTTCGTAACTTGGCCACATGTTGGCCTCCTGGGGGGAGGCCTAATTGAGGAGCTCCGCCTCTTTGATAGATCTCTTCCAAACTGGCACCGAGATGGCCCCCGAATGTGCCCCAAAGAGGTGCCCAGGAGGCCCCAAGAGAACTGCAAGAGGCCCCCAAGAGACCCTCAGACGCCCCAAGAGGCCCCACAAAGGCACCCCCAGACGCCCCAGCAGGCCTCGGCGAGATTCTCAGAATCATGGCTTTTACTGAGAGCGGGTTGGCCGCCTTTTCGTCGCCTGGGAGGGGACCACAAGTAAGCCCCCCCTACACCATTTGATCGATCTCCTCTAAGATGGCCATGAGGAGGAGGAGGAGGAGGAGGAGGAGGAGGAGGAGGAGGAGGAGGAGGAGGAGGAGGAGGAGGAGGAGGAGGAGGAGGGCCCCGAGATGCCCCTCGGGGCTCACAGGGTGCCCCAGGGCCGCCCCCCAAGAGGCGCCGAGGAGGCCCCCAAGAGGCCCCCAAAGAGGCCCCCTAAGAGGCTCCCAAGAGACCCCGAAGAGGCCCCCAAGAGGCCCCCGAGATGCACCCAAGACGCCCCAAGAGCCCCCCCGGGGCTGCCAAGAGACCCCCCCAAGACGCCCCAAGAGGACTCCAAGAAGCGCTCGAAGGAGATTCGAAAAGACTTCGAGAGGCATCCTGCAGGCGTCTGGCCTTTTTGCACGCCCTCCTCCTCCACCTCTCCCTCCTCCTCCTCCTCCTCCTCCTGCTTCTCCTCCTCTTGCTCCTCCTTCGATTCCTCCTCCATGGTTTACCCCTGTTTTGCTGCTGTTATGCCACGGCGCACACGCAGCAAGGTCTCTCAGACCCGACCCGAGGTCAGAAGCGAGCTGCCTGCCATCGCACGGACCATGCGGTGGCTGGCCAGGGAGCAGCCAGATAGCGAGGGGGAAGGCCCAAAGAACGAGAGGGACAAATTGTTTGCCAGTGTAGATCTACACGCCAGTCGGAAGAAGTAGGGATAAGCATGAAAGAATGCGAACAAAATATACTGGGTTCAGGCCCTCCCGGAGAATAACGAAACGAAGCAAAAGCATCACGATTCTTGAAGTAGGAAGGCGCTTGAAATAGATTGGGATCTGGGAATCCAAAAATACCTACTTTCAACGACCGGCGTGTATCCAACGCAAGTTTCGATCGGCATAGAGGGGCCGCGGCTTCCATTTGAGAGCCTCCTGTCGCACTCCCGCAGCGGGCGTTGTGAGCACAAGGTGTAGAGCGACGGCCCCACACACCGCGCGCACTGCACAAACCCCGCTCTCGCTTCTCGCTGGTCGATCTGGCAGCAGGGCGGCACGGGCACAGCCGCCAGCCTGCTCACCATGAAATGGGGATGCCCTTTGCCACTGGACCCTCTGTTGAATGGGCCCTGGAAGCGACAAGCCGTTTTTGTTACCGGTTCCGCTTTGTCGCTTTTTGTTGCCAGTTCCGAAGCTGTTTGTTTGAGCATGTTTTTCTTTAGACCCAGGCAAACTTAATTACATAGCTTTCGCCCCCCCCGCCATCGCCCCTCTTCAATCGAACACGAGCGTGCAAATGCCTTTCGACTTGCGTGATATTTTGTACGTCAAATTGTTTTCGGCTTGCTTCAGGCTCGCCCCCCCTCCCCGTCTATGCAAATTAACTTGCCCGAATAAAAAAGCAAGATCGTTTGCTGGTTCCGTCGCTGTGCTTTTGCCGGTTCGGGCTCCGGTTCCAATCCTGGAGCCGTTTGTTTGCCAGTCCCAGCTTCTGCTGGTACTTCGCAACCAGGTTCCTGGACAAGGCGCACCTTTGCAAGCACGTCGATTTCGGCACTGCCTGATCCCGAGGCTTTGCCGCCTCCCGGCCTCGCCCTGAGGCTGCGTTCATTCCCTCCTCCCCCTCTTTGTTAATTCAAGCTTCGCGCGGCCCGCTAAGCTTCGACCAGAAGAGGTGCGCTCTCGACCCGCGAATCAAAAAAAAGTTTGCCGGTCCCAGTCGCCGTTTTTGTTGCCGCCTCCCTTTCCAAAAGACACTCCTTCTTCGGAAACGGTGGCGGAAAGGGCCTGCCGCTTCCGGGGCCCACCGAGAGGGGGATACATTTTCCCAAACACACTTTTCCCTTCGGCGGCGAGGCAGACTTGGCTGCACCAGCAAAGGAGCTAGACGGGGGCGCCGAAAAGCGAGTTGGCCGGCGTGCAAGGGCGGGAAAACGAGGAGGCAAGGCGGCCGCGGAAGGAGGGGGGGGAGAAGATATGTTCCGCCTCCCAAACACACAAAGCAAAGGGCAGGTAGCGAGGGCCGCTTGTCCCAGAGGTCCAGCATCGCTGGAACGGTGCTCTCGCTCGGATATGCCAGGCACATCGGGTGCTCGTCTTCTAGGGGGGCGCTCTTCTTGTGGTGAAGGAAAAAAATGCAACGGCTCATTGGGAGGGGACTCTTGGGACGGGACGGTGCATGGCAGCATCATCGTTCAAGCTTCCTGGCTCTCCTCTGGTCCTCCTTCTCCTCCTCTTCAACCGCTTCGTCGTCGTCATCCTGATCCTCCTGCTCGTCCGCCTCCTCTTCCTCCGCCAACGTAAACAGCTCCTCCTCGTCCTCCTCCTTCTCCCTTCTCCTCCCCATCCTCCTCCTCCTCCTGCCCGTCCACGTCTGCGCGCGCGTCCTCGTTCTCGCCCAAGCCGTCCTCGTCCTGGTCACCGCCCTCCTCTTCATCGCCCGCCTCGTCTCCTGCGTGATTATGACGAACGAACAACACACACCCATACCCATAAGGGCGGTCGTTGGGAGGAGGACTCGCTATGGGTGTGGGTGCGGGTTGTCGGACCCTGGGGAACGCTCCCGTTCGAGCGGGGAACCCCATCCGACAACACGCACCCATAGCCCTCTCCAACCCCCCTATGGGTATGGGTGTGTGTTGCTGGTTCGTCATAGTTAATCCCCCCCCGCCCGCGCGGCACGCAGCCTTTCACGTTCTCCCGGATCGCCAGCATGACCTGCTCTCGGCGGGGCCCAGGGCCGCCACTCCCGCGCGCGCGACGCCGCAACTTCTCCCTGCTCACTGCTCTAACTCCTTCTGCTGTTCCGGGGGAAACCAAACATACTGATACCGTCACGTGGGCATCTCTTAATTCGGCGTTTCGACGTTGGGCGAAAGGGGGGGGGGGTCTGGCCCCAGACCTCTGCTTACTGCGACTGTTTGCAACATTGCGTCTGATGGGGGAGATGCCCCACCTGCTCGAGACAGGCGCCCAAAACAGCCAAGATCTACTCCATGCGGGGGCGGCAGGGGGGGTTGGGGGGCCCGCGCTGATCGGCAAAACAATGAATGAAAAAACGATCACCACTCCTCCTGGACCTCCCACGGTGTGTGTTCTGACCAGATTTGGGAGGAGAGTCCAGCAGTGGCGACGAGTGCCTCCGAGGAGGCCCAGAAGAAAGAAAACGAAGCTCGGAGCAGGGCGAAACTGGACAACGAAAGCTCAAAACCGGTCAATGTTCCAAGCTGCGTCAAGCCGTGGCGACGAGAGGGCTCCCCGAAGGCCAACGATACCGTCGTCTCAACTCGCCCTGCATTCCTACAGGCCTACCACGAAACGTTCGTAGAACCCCAACATTTTCCAATAACAAGAACAATGTTCTTTCAGCATAAGCCCTGTGTTAAGACAAGACAGTCTCAACCAAAACGGTTCTAAGAACTTATCTTGCAAACCAAACGAGGTTCTTAGAACATTCTTTGGTGGGCCTACAGGCAAGCCGGGACGCTTCGCCGCTGCTCGAAGGAGGAGGAGGGAGAGGAGGGGGAAGAGGGGGAGGAGGGAGAGGAGGGGGAAGAGGGGGAGGAGGGGGAGGGGGGAGGAGGGGGGAGGAGGGAGAGGAGGAGGGGGAGGAGGGAGAGGAGGAGGGGGGGAGGAGGGAGAGGAGGAGGGGGGAGGAGGGAGAGGAGGGGGAAGAGGGGGAGAAGGAGGGGCTCTGTCCCTTCCCCTCCTCCCTCGCCACGCGCCTCGTGCACGCGCGGCGCAAGACCACGAGCTGGTTCTTTCAGACGTCTGCCAATTAGGGTCTAGGGACTTTTGCAGTGGGCACGAAGGGGGCAAGAAGCGTGGGAGGGCAGGGAGAGCAGGGGGGGCGGGAGGAGGGACGCTGGCTGGCTGAGAACGTTGTATCATTGACGGGCATCGTGTTCAGTTAATACCGTCTTGGTATGCAAAGATCGGCCCATGAGGAGGCCAGCCAGGTGGCCAGCGGAGCATGTGGCGCATGCAGCGGCTAGACCAGCAGTTGCAGTCTCAGACAACTGCACGAAGTGAACGGAGAGCCAGGACGAGGAGAGGAGACCGAACCAGGCCTGGGAACCACTCGCGGCTCTGGAGGTGGCCCTGGGCGTCGCTGAATTGGATGGGCGATGAAGAGAAGGGGGGGGGCGGGGGGGGAAGCCGGGGGGGGGGGGGGGAAGTGCACGTCTCGGGCCCGAAGGGCCCCCTGTTGCGCCCTAAAGGGCCCCTTCAGGGGCCCCGAAGGGCCCCTGACGCCCAAAGGCCTCGCAGATTTTGGCCGAGCCAGGCTTGGACGCCCCCCCCCCCTCCCAGATGACTCAGCGCAGCTGCTCTAAATTGGTTGAGTTCGCCTTGCGCTGAGCCTGGATGGTTCGCGCCAGAACTCTCGAGGACGACAATCACGACGACGACGACGACCACGACGACAACCACGACGACGAGGACGACGACGACGACCGTCGGCCACGCCAAAGCTCTCATCCGCAGCCGCGAGGGCTACACAAGCCCGACTCTTAGAGGAAAAAGAACTATGCACATGCACCGATTCTGGCCAGGCCCATCCTGAGCCCAGGATCGGTGCATACGTCCTCCTACCTTGGCCAGGAGGGCATATGCACCGATCCTGGGTCAAAGATGGGCCTTGCCAGGATCGGTGCATGTGCATAATTCTCTTCGCCCGAACTCTCGCAAACTCGCGCGCCGACTGCTCCGCGGCAAGCTCTGCTCCGCACGAGCGCGCGGGGGGCGGCCCTCGGCCAAACCGTCGGGCGGAAGGGGGGGGCAGCGGCAGCTCCACGGTGCCTGCCTCCTCCCGTGCCATCGGGGGGCGGGCGGGTATACTTCATGTCTCTACGTACCACTTCTTCCGACTGACATGTAGGCAACGCCCGCCATGGGCCCCCAGCGTCATCCGCCTGGCTGCGAGCCTCTCGCTTGCCAACCCGGCCGCCACGACGCAGGCTTGCGCCCAGCTGCTCTTGCGGCCCGCGTTGCTCTACTGGTTTTTCGTTGCGCCGCGCGCGTGCCCTCGGACGCAATTGTGGCCCTGTGGTCCTCGACGGGCTGACGTATAGCCGACGGTTGATCAGCAGGTCGACCCTGCCAAGTCAAGGGTTTCATGGTGCCCTGCGTGTAACAACCTATTCCTCCCCACGCCCTCCCCGCTGCCCCTCGTCTCCCCGCCCGTCGTCGCAACCGCCGCGGTCGGCGCCTCCCGTCCGCCTGTCTACCCACCCGCACGCTCGCCAACACCCCAGCTGTTCATGCTCATGTGCCTCGTCCTCATCATCGCCCCCAATCCTCCTCTTCTGCATCCCCGCTCCTGCTCTTCCTCCTTCTCGCCACAGGATTCCTCATCGTCCTGCTCCTCAGAAGTTATGGACTCCTGCTGTGCCTGCTCCCCCTGTTCTTCGTTGCATTACTACGAAAGTTCGCATACCTAGTTCCAGACTGCGAAAGTTCGCATAACTAGTTCCAGCACTCATAGTAGAACGACTCGTTTTACTATAGAACTTAAGCACCGTTTTATGAATACCACTAATAATGAATAGTGTACCCATATTGTTGGTAATACTACTGCAAGTGTGACCATTATTATGATGACTAGTATTAGTATTAGTACTATTGTTACTATTATTCATAGCATCCATCCTACTCCTCCGCGGCGGCGAGCAGTCTGGCCGAGTCGAACACGATTGCCGGTTCCCCTTCCCTCCGCTCCTCTGCCGCCCCTTGCTCCCTGCCTCCCCTCGTTTGCATCCCCTCCGCCACATCAACCCCCCAACGCCTCTCCCGCTGCCTGTCCTTCGCGCGCCCCCCCACCCGTCCAGCCCACCCCGCCCAATGTTCACACCCGTCGCACCGCTTCCTCTTGCGTTTCGGCCTACGCCTCCTCTTCGCCCCCTTCCCACCTTCACTCCGCCCCCCCCCCCCTCCCCCAGCCCGACCCCACCCTACCCAATCCATCCCGCCCCCCTCACACCTGTCTCGTGCCCTTCTGGTACAGTTTGGCCTACGCCTATCCTTCGCCCTTCCCCACCTTCTCCAACTCCCCCACGTGCGCATCCCTCTGGCCGTCGTCGTCCTCATGTCCTCCCCCGTTCCTCCCCGACATCCTCAAATACTCCATTCCCTCCCCCTCCTCCTCCTCCTCCTCCTCCTCCTCCTCCTCCTCCTCCTCCTACGCATCCTGCTCCTCCTCATACGGATCCTGCTCATCAGTTCCTTCTCCTCCATCTACACGTTCTCCGTCGCCTCTCCCTCCATTTTCCCAATGTCCAACTCAACCCCCCCCTCCTCCTGCTCATCATCATCAACATCAGCATCACCATGGCCAGTGTCAGCATCCTCATCAACCTCGTGATCCTCATCAACCGTCTCGCCAGCATCACAAACATCATCAGCATTCTCACCATAATCATCATCGGTATCAATATCAGTATCTTCATCGTCCGCATCAACGTCATCAGCAACATTACCAACACCATCATCATCATCATCATCAGCATCATCATCATCATCATCATCATCAACATCATGACCATCATCATCAACATCATCAATATCATCATCCTCATCCGCATCATCATCAACAACGCCATCGTCGTCGTCGTCCCCGTCATCAGCACCATCATCATCAGCATCACCCTCAGTCGCATCACCCTTATCATCATCAGTACCATCAACTACACGATCATCATCATCATCCTCATCCTCATCAGTGCCATCATAATCATCAGCCTCATCATCATCAGCATCATCATCATCACCATCGTCGACATCAGCATCAGCAGCATTGTCAACACTACCAGCAGTGTCATCATCATACACATCATCCTCATCATCGCCATCAACAGCATCGTCATCATCAACATCAGCATCAGCATCACGATCATCCACACCAGCATCAGCATCATCGTAAGCGTTATCAACATCGCCATCGTCATCACCATCCTCCTCAGTATCAGCATCATCATCAGTATCATCATCAACATAATCACCATCATTGTCGGATTCACCACCATCACCGCATGGCAATCATGATACATAGTATCAGTACCAGTATCATCATCACCAATCACATCATCATCATCATCATCATCATCATCATCATCATCATCATCATCTTCATCATCATCATCATTATCATCATCATCATCACCATCATCATCATCATCATCATCATCACCATGATCAGCAATTCATCGTCAGCATCGTGTTATGCATCGTCGTCAGCATCAGCATCAACAGCAACACCGCCAGCATCCCCAACATCGTCCAAGCCCGCGCATCACATCATCAGCATCAGCAGCATCATCCTCATCGTCCTCATCATCATCCTCATCTTCATCCCCATCCGCATCAGCATCATAATCATCTTCCCCACCAGCAGCAGTATCAATACTACCACCACCAACATCACCATCAACATCGTCCTCCACGTCAGGATCCTAACCATCCTCAGCATCAGTCTCGTCGGCATCGGCATCACCACGATCATCAGGATCAGTTACATCATCGTCAGCAACATCATCAGCATCGCCATTATCAGCATTGAAGTCATCATTATGAGCATCCTCATCATTAGCATCGTCAGCATCATCACCATATTGTTCGTCGGCGTCTTTGTCTCCGCAGCATCGTCGTGACCACCGTCAATGACCATCAACAGCATCAGTCACAAACTCATCATCAACACATCGTCATGAACCGCATCTTCACCACAAGAATACAAGGATCATGCCCAACATCATCATCACCATCACAAGCACCACCACCAGCATCATTCACATCATTGTCAGCACATCACTATCATCAACATCATCATCATTAGCAACTGCATTCGCGCCATCATCACCAGCAATACTACCACCATCAGCAACAACCGTAGCGATAACATCACCAAATCAGCATTCCGAACACCAGCATCATCATCAGCAGCAGCATCACCAGCATCAGCCGCATCATAATCAGTATCATCGTAATCGACAGCATCATCACCATCACAATCATCATCATCTTCATCATCACCATCGTTGTCGCTGTATCCGCAGCATCGTCATGACCACTGTCAGAATGACCATCGCCAGCATCAATCACAGGATTTTCATCAACGCATCATCATGGCCATCATCATCATCATCATCATACTCAGCATGAATGCTATCTGGACCAACATCATCATCATCAACAACATCATCAACATCACAATCATCACAATCATCAACACCAGCAACATCATTCACACCATTATCGGCACATCAGCATCATCAGCACCAGCTGCATTATCGTCATCATCAACAGCATCATCCCCACCAACAACAACATCAACGGTATCATCACCGCATCAGCTTCCACATCATCATCAACATCTTTGTCATAATCGTCACCAGTACCATGATTATCATCACCAGCATCTCCATCATGATCATCATCATTCACGTCGTCGTAGTCCTCCCACTTATGCGCAGGCTCGTCCTCCACGTGCTACCCTCCTTCTCCCACGCGCCTTGGCGCGCAAAGGGCCGGACAGGTTGAGCAAGGCCTCTTGTGCGACCTTCCGCCTCTCCGCCAGCTTGGACCCGATGTCTCCAAAGCCGGCAGCCTGCATCTGCGCTGAGTCTATCTTGTCCTGCCGTCGCTGGGAAGGAGGAGGTTTCTCACGCAGCAGATCATGGAAACAGTCCTATTCCTCCTCCTCCTGCTTCTCCTCCAACATCATCATCATCATCATCATCATCATCATCATCATCATCATCATCATCATCATCATCATCATCAGCATCAGCGTCATGGTCTCGGTACTGAAAACCGCTCGAGAACGCCTGGTGTGAAATTACCCGGGACGTGCACAGCCCTTTCCCCACGCAGGGAGTACAAGCACGCTCGCTACAAGAGAGAGAACCGCAGGACAAGCACCCCCCTGCAGCTCTTCGCCTGGCACAGGCAGGCCACGCGCGTCGCGCAACCGCGCAGGAGCGGACAACTCTCAGGACAGCGCCACGCGCTAGAGTCGGGCCGCTGAAAGAAGGAACGCTAAATAAGGAACGAAACCCCTTCTTGGCCCTGTAAGCGCCTCCGTGCCCCAGGAGGGCAAGATGAACAACACTGGAGGAACCTCAGGAACATCGAGCCCCCTCCGAACCGAAACTGTTCCTTATTTCAACGTTTTGACTTTGGTGTCAGTTCCATGGGAGCCTGCGTGGCCCCGGCACTGTCCAATTTGGGCCTGCTTTGGACCAAATTTGGAACACATGTGGACCGGATTTGGACCAGACTTGGACTGGATTCGTGGGGGCTAGGAAAACGAGGACGGGGAGGGGGAACAGGAGGGGAGAGGAGGAGCACGAGGATGGGCCAAATGCGGTCCCCAAGCTGTCCACATGCAGGAAAAGCTGATTTCAATGTCGCCGCCCAAAGCTCCCATGAACAGACATCGAATTTTGACTGCACGCGACGTTGCCGCCCCCTGCGTTCCTGTGATGCCCCAGCGCCGCGCGCGCAAAACGGCGCGACGACGCCGCACGCCGCGTGGGCGCGCGCCGTGCGGGCGTCCTGCACACCTGGGGAGCGGCAGTGCCTCGAGGGATCTGCGCTGCCCCATCGCCTCCGCCGTGGCCCCCAGGGAACCCACGAAGGCGCCGACGGCTGCGCCGCTGGATCCGCGTTTTCCCTCACTCCGCCGTGCCTCCCACAAACCCACGAAACTGGCGACGGTTGTGCAATTCGCAGCCCCCCAGGCAGATGTGAGGTCCCGGCTGGGTCCGAGTACTCCCATATTCCGCCGTGCCCCCACGGGGCCCACGAAGGTGCCGAAGGGTGCGCCTTTCGCAACCACCCAGGGAGCCACGAGGTCTCGAAATAGTCTGCGCTGCCCGGACCGTGCCGCCTAAGGGCCCACGAAAGCGGCAACGGCGGCGCAGTTTGCAGACACCCAGGGTGCCGCGAGGTCTCGTCAGGATGCGCGCACACTTCCACTCAACTGACCTTCCAAATGCCCGCGAAAAAAATGAAGATTGCGCAGTTCGCAGCCACCCAGGGAACCGCGAGGTCTCATCTGGATGATCGTACACCTCTACTCTGCTCCTCACCGATCTTGCTGAGATGGGTGTCGAAGCGTGCCTTCACCCGGCTGGCGATACACTCCATGCATCAATTCTCTCCACTTAGAATCCGCTTCCTGCATCGTGACCGTGCCTCGGGCGCCCTTGAGAGCCTCAACGACCCTCTCGGCGCCATCTTCTTTGACAAGATCCTCCAATTATGCCTTGTTCGCCTCGCGCCACTGCTGCGAGTCCTCGTCCATCGCTTGAACCAGTGGAAGTCCCAAGTAACTTCGGTCCTCCTCTCTGGTGCCAAGGACCCACAGCTTTACCTTCTTTTCGAAACTCTCCAGCGTCGAAGAGTCACCGCTCCAAGCCTGAATCTTGACTCCAGACTGATGTTTTTGTCGCCATCTTGAATGTGGGGATTGACTCGAAATGGGCTGCCACTGCGTCTCGCTACCAATGTCAATGGATCGTGTTGTCTACGCATCTCCGCCTTTCACTTCGAGATGTCTTCATGGTTCCAAAGCTGGGTGCCCACGCCGATTCTGGAACCACTGGCGGTCGTTGGGCTCGACAGAGCTCTGGATATCCAACTGGCGAGCGCAAGATATTGAAAATATGTGTATCCACAATCACGCGTGAGATGTCCCCCGGACAGCTTCGGAGCGAAGTAAACAGATCACCAAAACAGGCCAGGCAGCTGGGACTAAGCCAGACGGCTCCGGACAACATAGCCATATTTGCCACGTGCTGTTGGTTGTGTTATGGGGTCGAGAACTCTCTGACCAGCAATCTTAAATTATCAGCCTTCGATTCACAAGGGGGGCAGGCCCCATTTCCGCTCCCTGAAACGCGCAATCGTCACCGCTACACGAGGGTGAGGATTCTGGCGGCAACGAACGCAACCGGCAAGAGGATACAAACAAACAGGACAGTCGGGGTGGATCGGAGAGGACACGCGAGATGGCACGAGACCCTCCCGATGGCCACATTGCCAGTGGAACATAGAGGGCATGGGTCGCGAACCACAGGACACAAGGATGCCCTTGTTTGGACAAGGTCGACCTACAAATCAAAGTCGATTGTATTCCTCCTCCCTCCCCCATCCGTCCTTGACAAACATCCCGAGGGACTCGCCGACGGTTTTGTAGTCTCCTCGCGTGACAGACTCCCGTGCGCCCTGCAGCCTCTCGTGCGCACTCGCGCGGATGCCCTGCATCCGTGCGCCTGGGGGTGGGGGTGGGGCGGAGGGGTCGTCCTCCGGCTGCTGCTGCTCCTCCTCCTCCTCCTCCTCCTCCTCCGCCGCCGCCGCCTCCGCCTCCACAATTACTTAATATGAATACGACTCTCCCTCTTCCCCTGATGACGGCTTGGGAGTATCCGACCCCCCCCCGAGTACTGTTTTTTACACAACAGGTTTCCCCAGAATTGGGTTTTCGCTTGCATTTGTTCCCAAAATGCTGCTCTCGCTGAGGCGCCGGCCTCACTTTCGGGCCCCGCTCGTTCCGAATCGTGCTCCCGCTGCAGCGCTGGCATCATTTCCGCCGGCGCCCGGGCTGCACGCCCGAGCCGGCGCCCGGGCCGGCGCTCTGGCCGGGTCCGGAGCCGGTTCCAGCCGCCGCCGGAAAATCGAGTTCCGAGGCGGCGCCGAAAAAAGGCCATTCTAATACGCATTTTTCTGTTGAAAATGCTGAATTTCTGCTTCCGGCGCCCGGGAGGCCTCCCGGGCCGATTCCGACGCCTGGGCCGGCGCCCGAGCCGGCGCCCGGGCCGGACGCCCGAGCCGGCGCCCGGGCCGGCGCCCTGGCGGGGTCCAGAGCCGGTTCCGGCCGCCGCTGGAAAATCGAGTTCCGAGGCGGCGCCGAAAAAAGGCCATTCCAATACACATTTTTCTTTTGAAAATGCTGAATTCCTACTTCTGGCGCCCGGGAAGCCTCCCAGGCCGATTCTGGCGTGCTTCCGCTCGTGCCGAATCGTGCTCCCGCTGGAGCGCTGGCCTCATTTCCGCGCTTACGCTCGTGTCGACTCGTGCTCCCGCTGCAGCGCTGGCGTTATTTCCCGTGCCATGCCACGGCATGCAATGCAATGCAAGCTTGATACTACGCTTCGCGGTGCTCTTCTACGCCACGCCATGCCGTGCTCTACAATGCATCGCGTACCCTTTCGGGATCATTGCCCTGCTCGACATTCGACTGTGCGAGTAGAGAGGGGACCTGCGCCATGGTAAGGGATGGGAGGGAGGGGTAGGATGTCAGATATGACGCGAGCGCACCTAGCTTGCCCTCCTCCCCCTCCCCCATTACCCCTCCCCCTCCCCCTCCCCCTCCGCCTTACCTCCCTCCTCCTCTTCCTCCCCTCCCCCTCTTCCTCCGCCTCCTCCTCCTCCTCCTCCTCCTCCTCAGCCTCTTCCTCATCCTCCGCCTCCTCCGCCTCCTCCCTCCTCCTTCCTCCTCCTCCGCTCCTCCTCCTCCTCATCCGCCTCCTCCTCCTCCTCCTCCTCCCTCCTCCTCCACTCCTCCTCCTCCTCCTCCTCCTCCTCCTCCTCCCTGCTCCTGCTCCTCCCCCCTCCCCCTCCCCCTCCCCCTCCCCCTTCCCCTCCTTCTCCTCCTGCTCCTCCTCCTCCTCCTCCTCCGCCTTCACCTCCTCCTCCTCCTCCCTCCTCCTCCTCCTCCTCTCCGCTCCTCCTCCTCCTCCTCCTCCTCCTCCTCCTCCCTCCCCCTCCTCCTGCTCCTCCAACTCCTCCTCCTCCTCCTCCTCCTCCTCCTCCTCCTCCTCCTCCTCGTTCTCCCTCCTCCTCCTCCTCCTCCTCCTCCGCCTCTTCCCCTCCTCCTCCTTTCCCTCCTCCTCCTCCCCCTCCTCCCCCCCTCCCCCTCCCCCTCCCCCTCCCCTCCCCCTCCTCCTCCTCCTCCCCTCCCTCCTCCTCCTCCTCCTCCTCCTCCTCCTCCTCCTCCTCCTCCTCCTCCTCCTCCTCCTCCTCCTCCTCCTCCTCCTCTCAAGCACAGGTGGGCCAAGGCTCCGTACCCGTTTGGGCTCAACGAGTCATGTTTCTCCTAGCTCTGCGCCTCCACGTCGGCGCCTGAGGGGCACCGGGTCTGTCACGCCGCGCCGCGCGCAGCCGATCCCGGTGGAGCAGAGCGAATTCGGGCATTCATGCAGGGAGTCTTTCTGCGGTGTTGCAGCATGCTGTCTGTCATCTTCGGGCTTTTCGAGTGCACCGAGCAGCAGCGTGAGCGTGGTAGTTACCAGCAGCACGACTTCCAACAGTGCTTTTCGGAGCAGTGCGACATCCGCAACAGGCATCTTCAGCTTCAAAGCGTTTATCTCCCAGTGCCGCTTGGGGAGGGTATGGCAGTTTCTGGAGGTGCGCTGCAGTTGCTTTTGCTGTATCACCTGTCGTCATCAGCTTTATTGCGTGTATCTCCCAATCCCGCCAGGGGAGGGTATGACAATGTTTCTGGTGGCGCGGTGCTATTGCTTCTGCTATCTGGTGATGTCGCAAGTTGGCTCCTGGGCATGTTGTGGAATTGTCTTTGTTCACAATGTTGGCGGGAAGTCGCTCTCAATACGCTTTCTTGTCGGAATGGGAGCGGCTTTCTTACACCACGCGGTCCCATCGGGCATTGTCAACTATCATGCTGGAGTGGACTAGCGTGGTTGTTTGTGCTTGTGCCGAATGGTCATTTTTCCCCGTTCACCGTGCAGAGTGTCACGGAGAGGTCTTTTTACAGGCTGGTGTTATTCGGGTTGTTGTCGTGGGGAGTTCCATCAATGCCACTCAATTGTGTTACAGGTGGTGCAACCGTGCTGAGGGACATGATCTATATGGTCTTCCAAGGAGGCAGTGGGCGAGGCAGTTCTGGAGGTAGCGAGCTCGGCATTATAAGATCTTGCAGTTGAGGCTCTTCTGCGAGTTGTGCCAGGCTTGCCCGTTGACCACGTATAGGGCCGTATCGAGCTTAATCCTACCTGTCTAGTCGCTGTCAATTTGTGGGCTGTATTTGAGATATGGTGAAGGTCTCGGTTTCCTTTTCTGCAGCTACTGGGTCATCAGGTACCCTTCGCTCTCAACCTGTTCCTCGTCTTCCTTGAGGAGTTCAGGGGGCGGCATTGTATTGTGACGCTTCGCGTCTGTTCCGATTCCGATTCCGATTCCGATTCCTCCTCCTCCTCCTCCTCCTCCTCCTCCTCCTCCACCTCCTCCTCCTCCTCCTCCGCCTCCAACTCCTTCTCTTCCTCCTCATCCTCCTCCTCCTCCTCCTCCTCCACCTCCTCCTCCTCCTCATCCTCCCTCATCCTTCACCGATTCCTCCTCTTCCTCCTCCTCCCCTCCTCCTCCTCCTCCTCCTCCTCCTCCTCCCCTCCTCCTCCTCCTCCTCCCCCTCCCCCTCCCCTCCCCCTCCCCCTCCCCCCTCCCCCTCCCCCTCCCCCCCCCCTCCCCCCCCCCCTCCCCCCCTCCCCCTCCCGCTCCCGCTCCCCCTCCCCCGCCCCCGCCCCCTCCCCCTCCTGCTCCCCCTCCTCCTCCTCCTCCTCCACCACCAACACCACCACCAACACCACCACCACCACCACCACCTCCTCCTCCTCCTCCTCCTCCTTCCTCCTCCTCGCCGATCCCTCCTCCTCCTCCTCCTCCTCCTCATCCTCCTCCTCCTCCGCCTCTTCCTCCTCCGCCTCCTCCTCCTCCTCCATTTCTTCCTCCTCCTTATCCTCCTCCTCCTTGGTCTCTGCTTCCCCCACCTCCTCCTCCTCATCATCATCCTTCTCCTCATCCTCCTCCTCCTTTTTCCACCACCACCGCCACCTCCTCCTCCTCGTCGTCATCCTCCTGTTGCTCCTGCCCCTGTTCCTCCTCCTCCTCCTCCGCCTCCGCCTCCGCCTCCTCCTCCTCCGCATCTTCTTATTCGTGTTGTTAGTATTAGTCTTATTAGTCTTATGCTTCTTCTTCTTCGTCTTCTCCTTCGTCTTATTATTATTATTAGTAGTATTAGTATTATTATTAGTATTATTATTATAATTGTTATTAGTATTATTATTATTATGATTATGTTTATTATTATTATTATTATTATGTATAAGTATTATTATTGTCAGTGTATTAGTAGTATGCTTATTATTATTCTTCCTCCTCCTCCTCCTCCTCCTCCTCTTTCTCCTCCTCCCCCCCTCCTCCTCCTCCTCCTCCTCCTCCTCCTCCGACTGCTCCAGCCGACGAAAGACTTTGGAGGGAGTGCAGCGGAGAGGGGAGGGCAGCGGAGCGGCGCGGGGGGGCTGGAGGGAGGGACGGTATGGGACGGGAGGGGGGACTGGCATACAGTCAACCGGGAAGCAAACCAATGACGCACGATGAGGATGCGAGAGCATTGGAAGGCCATGCCGACACTTTGGCGCTTCCCGACGCTTGCTGGGTCGTTGTTCCTGAGTATCTTTAGCGCCGCCGCGTGCTCTTTCAACTCTTGCTCCATCCTCTCGAGCTGCTCATCGTCGATCTCCGGCTGCATCCATTCTCTGAAAATTCGACAACGTTCTAAGGGATTCTGAGTTTCTATATTGTATGCCGCATAGATATACATATATATATATATATATATATAATGATACCGGAGAAAAGCCCCAATCAGGGCTGTAGGGCTGAAGGGCTATAGGACTATAGGGCTATTGAGCTATCGGCTATAGGGCTATAGAGCTATAGGGCTATGGAACTGTAAGGCTATAGGGCTATAGGGCTATTGGGCTATGGGGCTATAAGGCCATAAGGCTATAGGGCCCCCCTGGGCACGCCCGGGCACCTCCGGGCACGCCCGGGCACCCAGGCACACGGGCACCCGGGCACACCCTGGCACCAGGGCACCCGGGTGCACGGCGAAAATCGGCGGCAAACCTAACCTAACCACATGAATCCACTAGGACTCCTACAGAGGCAAGCTCTGATCGGGGAATCTACGCGTTGTTTTTGCGGCTGGGGAAAACTTTCTTTCGCCCCCCGCAGCATCGATGAATATGGACCATGCCTCGTCTGGCCAGAGCTTCTCGAGAGAATTATTCCACTCTCCTTTTCTCTCCTACAGAGCTCTGTCCACCTCCTTGCGCAGCTCCCGCCTCTCCCACCCCGTCCTCAGGCACTTCATCAACCCGCCCCTGTCCACCTTCTCCTCTCTGGCCGACTTGGGATGATGATATATAGTAACTGTATTTTCCATGCCTGGAAATAGATGGTCACGGTGCCCGCG